TTTTGATTTCCTGAATTGTTCTACTTGATCATGTCAGCTCCACAAAAAAAAAAAAAGTTTTATTTGCTCCTTTCCACTATGTAGAGTTTAATTCATTTTCTTACCATATTTGTATGAACTCTTCTGTATTGTATTAAATAAGAGTGGTAAGAGCCTACCATATCTTTGTTGTAGTAGGCTGAATAATACTCCCTCCCACCCTCCTGAAGATAACAGCATCTAACTACTGGAACCTGTGAATATGTCACCTTACATGGTACAAAGACATTTTCACATGTGATTAATTTGAGGATGTTGAGATGGAGAGATTATTCTAGATTATTCTGCATGCCTAAGGTAATCATAAATGTCTTTACAACAGCAAGACAGGGAGAGATTTTACTATAGAAAAGGAATGTCAGGGTGATCCAGTGTGAGAAAGACTTAGCTAAGCATTGCTGGCTATGAAGATGTAGGAAAAGTCTGAGCCAAGAGATTCCTGTGACCTCTAGAAGTTGGAAGAAGCATAGAACAGATTATTTTCTGGAGTCTGCAGAATAAATTACTGCTGCTAACCCCTTCATTTTAGCACAGTGAAACTGATATCATATTTTGGAACACCAAAAGAGTAAGATAATATATATTGTTCTAAGCCACAAAATTTGTGGCACTTCACTTTAGCAGTGGTAGAAAACTAATACGCTTCCCTTATTTCCAACGTTATATCATAAACATTCAGTTATTCACTGTTAAGTGTAACATAATCTATAGGGTTCTTTTTTTTTTTTGTAGATGCTGTTTATATAGTTGAGAAAGTTGTCATCAATTTTTAGTTTTCTGAGAGGTTTGTAATTGATACTGTATTAGTCTGTTCTCATGCTTCTAATAAAGACATACCCAAGACTGGGTAACTTATAAAAGGAGGTTTAATGGACTCATAGTTCCACATGACTGGGGAGGCCTCACAATCATGGTGGAAGGTAAAGGGGAAGCAAGACACATCTTACATGGCATCAGGAAGGGGGCATCTGCAGGGGAACTGCCCTTTATAAAACCATCAGATCTCCTGAGACTTATTCACTATCACAAGAACAGCATGGGAAACATCCACCCTGAGGATTCAATTACCTCCCACTGGTAGGACACGTAGAAATTATGGGAACTACAATTCAAGATGAGATTTGGGTGGGGACACAGCCAAACCATATCAGATACATATTATATTTTTTAATATGTTTTTTTCTGTAGTATTTGATGCATTCATACAATTTGTCATCTTTAGTCTGCTAATATGGTAGACTATACTAGTTGATTTTAGAATATTGAGACAATATTGTATACCTGGAACAAATTCCACTTGGTTTTTGTGAATGGTTATTTTTATTCATTTCTGGATTTAATCACCAATATTTTGATGAGGATTATTATGTCTAAGTTAAAGAAATATATTTGTTTGCACTTTTTCACTTTTTCTGTCTTCCCTTTTTCCTTTTTTCCTTTTTTATTTTGCTTCTTTTTTTGAATGAGTTGGTAAGTGTTCCTTCCTGTTCTGTTTTATGGAAGAGATTGTGTAAAGTTGGTGTTAGTTCTTCTTTAATTACTTGATAGTTTCCCTCAGTAAAACACTCTGGGCCTGGAATTTATTTTCAGGAGATTTTAAATTATAAATTTAATTTATTTAGTAATTATAGGAGTATTCAGCTTGTCTCTTTCATTTTGTTTGAATATTGTTAGTTTGTGGGTTTTGAGGAATTGATCCATTTCTTCTAAATTATCAAATTTATGAGCACAGAGTTTCTTACTGTGTTCCTTTATTATTTTGTAATGGCTTCAGGGTTAGTAGTAATACCCCTTGTTTCACTCCTGATATTGGTGACTTTTTTCATCTTTTTATCTTTGTCAGCCTTGCTGGGGTTTTAATCAATTTTGTTGAATATGCAGAATAAGTTTTTTGCTACATTGATTTTTCTCAATTGCTTTTTCCCTATTGTTTTTCTATCCTTAGTTTCACTGAATCCTGTGTTTGTCTACAATGTCCTTTCTTCTGCTTGTGTTGGATATATTTTGCTATTTGAGATACAAACTCAAATAATTGATTCAAAACATTTCCTTTTTCTTAATGTCAGCATTTAGTATCATAAATTTCTATCTCGACAGTGCTTTTGCGGCTTCTACTTATTTATCTAGATTACATTTTTACTTAGTAAAATATATTTTTTCACTTTCTTTAGATTTACTATTGACATAAATAATTTAGAAGTATATTATGTAATTTTCAAATTTCTAGAGATAGCTCTCTTGTCTTTCTAATATTAGTCTTTAGTTCTATTTTGTTAGGGTCAGATAAAATACTATCTATGATTTCAATTTTAAAAAATTGAGGTTCCTCTTATGGTCCATTATGTGAGTTACTGATATGGTTTGCTTTTCCCCCTTTTGCTTGCAACTTCTTCTCGCAGCCACCATGTGAAGAAGGATGTGTTTGCTTCCCCTTCTGCCATAATTGTAAGTTTCCTAAGGCCTCCCCAGCCATGCTGAACTGTGAGTGAATTAAACGTTTTTCCTTTATAAATTACCCAGTCTCAGGTATGTTTTCATTAGCAGCATGAGAACAGACTAATACAGTTACCTTGTTGAATTTTCTCATGGGCACTATATGTGTATATTATTAGATAGAATTTATTAAAATATATACATTGCTATATAAAAGTATTATGTTATGTATTATATAATAAATAATTATATATTATAATTTACATAAAATATATACAATAATGATATATATTATTTTATATTATGTATAATTTTTACAGTTTACTATTATATATTATATCAACTACATAAAATAATAATTTATAAATCTTTAAAAATTTTTAGTTTATAATTATTTTACTATATATTTTATATTTATAAAATATAAAATAATACTTTGTATATTCTATAAAATATAACATAACTTATAATAATTTATATATAAAATAATTATGGCGTCACTCATGCTGAGATTCCAAACAGAATTTGAGTTATTATCTGATCTTTGGAGAAATCAGAAGAGAGAGATAAGAGTATTATTTCCCAAATAGGCCAGTTTCAATTGGGATCTTAATTAAGTTCCCTCTGGTGTAATCTTTACAAAGAAAAAGGTAATCTGAAAAAAACCAGCGTTAACCAATCAGTTATTTCTGTATTGTTCAGTTTCCCTACTTTCACTTAATAAGGAAAGCAACTTCGAGGTTACCAATCCCTTTTTTATTCCTTATTTCTACTTTCTTCAGCCCTTCTCTGTCTATGAAAACAAACTCTTTTGCTTGGCTCATTGGAATATTTATTCTCTTTTTTGGAATAAAATGTTGCCTGATTCTAGAATCACAAATAAAGCCAATTTATATCTTTAAATTTTTGCCATAATTTTGTCCTTTGGTGTATTCACACACACACATATGCACACACACATATATATATATGTATTCACACACACACATATACACACACACACACACATATATATATATATATATATTTATGTGGATGGGAAATAATTGGGTAGAGTAATACATATATATATATGTAATACATGTATATGTATATACACACACACAGAGACAGTTCTGACCTGTTTTGAGTTATAATTTTTTTGACTTTATGATGGTTGGAAAACAATGTGCACTTCTCAACTTATGATGGGGTTATGTCCTGATAAACCCATCATAAATTTAAGATATTGGGAACATGACCCCATCATGGTAAGTTGAGCATCTGTATTGTTGGGTGGAATAGTCTATATATGTAAACGAGAATCTGTTTCAATTCTAGTTTCTGCTGATTTTATGTCCAGTAGTTCTATCGATTGTTGAGAGTAGAGCAATAAATGAAATAACATTATTTTAAAAAGTGAACATTGTAATCACTTCATTCTCTAGCCATACACAGCGACTGATGGCAGATAATAATAAGAAAATCCTCAGCCTGCTGCCTCAGGTTCATTTCGTGCCCTGGAATGTAGTGCTAAACTGCACTTCATAATCTTTGGAAAACTTAAAATTCAGCACCAACCAACCAGATACTTAGGTTCCACTTCAGACCTACTGAATTTGATTCACCTGAGATGAAGTGTGCACATTTTCATTTGAGCAGTCTTTACATGTTTCTGATGATCAATTTAGTAAAAAACAAGTACAATTAAATTGAAGTTTTGTAAAAAGATTGAAAACATAATAACCTCTAAAACCTTGCTTCTCAAGGTGTATGCTGTGGATTCATCATCACCAGGGAACCTATTTAAAATGAAGAATCTCACGTTAATTCTAGAATTACTGAAAGAGACTTCTTACATTAACAGGTTTTAAATGGGATTCTTGCAGCTGTCAACATTTTAGAGACACTGCAGCTGGTTGTCAACATTTTAGAGACACTGAAACTTACCCTCAGAAGATACTGAAAATGTGTCTTGCGGATTTAAATTTAGGACCTGGGGGTCTATGCATCTAACAGGATGCTAGACTCTTCTCAATCCAGCTGTATTTGTCTAGTGCTTTCTACTAAGTTTCTGCCTGTGTCTCCTGAATACCCTCTTAGTTCCATGCTGGAAGAGGAACCTGTCTTTTTGCTAGAACCTGAACTACTTTCTAGAACTCTCTAGAGAGGAGAGATCAACCTACCTGTTACATGTTGCAAAGCAGAGGAATTTTATGGAAGATGAATGTTACTAAATTCAAAGGAAGTCCCTGCCCTGCATATTCTACTACTCAGTTATAATGCACCCATTATAGACTGAAGCTACTCTAATCCGTGTGTCGTTGGTCACTACCTTATAGGTGTTTTCTGTTTGTTTGTTTTGTTTTTTTTCACCTCCTGTTTGTTATACTAGTTAATCTCCAGTTGAATTCATAGGTTTTGCTTCATCATTTCCTGCCCTTTAAGATTCTAAAATGTCCTGTGTCCAAATCTTAGTCTCATGACAAGTGACGCTCTGAAACGATACAGGGAACATAATCAAAGAAAACACGTCTTTCTAGATTCAATAATATAGGTGCCATGTGGTTTATTCTGGGTTACAAAGAAACACAGGAAGCCCTTTTGCCCCCCTAGCTAAAGTAATTTCCTTCCTTTATTCTGCCTTATTGTACTGAATAATATTAAGTTTCATGTGACAAATGCTATTATTATCAATAGAAAAGTATTAATGACAACGAGAAATAGTGAACACTTGGAAACCAACTTCAGTTTGTTGCCTAATGGTTCAAAATGTTATCCGGTCAGATGAAAAACTTCATTGACTTTTCATTTCCCAGGAAATTTGGTAGAGCTGAAATAATATAATGGTTTTAAAAAGAGAGAAAAAAGGAAATGGAGGGCAGGTCAAAGGATTGTGTGCATTATTTAAAGACTCTTTCTCTCTGGGATATAAATAATGTCACTGATGTTGTTTCTAGGGTTATGCTGCAGAATTTCCAACAGTGACTAGTTAGGAAGCCCAGGTATTGGAGCAAATTGGGAAATGAATCCCAATTCAAACAAAGTGAGTGGAAGGGCTTATTTGTAACCTGGTCCTACTAACCACAGCATCGAGCTAAGACCGTGATCTCATTCATAAAAACTGTTATCCAATCATCTCAATAAATGTTTGTTTTGTTTTGTATGCCTTCATTTAAATAGACTGTTTGCTACCATGCAGAAGTATTCATATTTTCCAATTCCCAGGCCAACCTCTGGTATGGCTCACAAAACTATTACATTTTAACATAGCATCCATGTATATTGTATCCCCATAATCTATGCACAACTTATGTCTCAAGCATGACACATGAGACACATGGATGTATCCTTAATTATCTTGCTCCCATTTCCTGGACTATCTTTCCTTACACATTTTCATTCATTATTTCTCAAAGTGAGAGAACACATTGTTGAATTAAAGATGTTTCCCATGAGTTCTTCTGGTGGTATTGAGAGAAATGGATATTGAAGAGATGTGAATCCCATAAATCTGTATGAGAGAAGAAACATTTTATTTTTACCTGTGTTAGTCAACTTGGGCTTCCATAACAAAATAATGTGGCTTAAACAACAGCAATTTATTTTCTCACAGTTCTGGAGACTAGAAATCCAAGATCAAGGTGTCAGAAACATCCAGTGAGGCCTCTCTCCTGGGCGGCTTCCCACCCTGTCCTCACATGGTCTTTCTTCTGTATGCATCTATCTCTGGTGTCTCTTCCTCTTCTTATAAGGACACCAGTCCTATTGAATTAGGACTTCACCCAGATGGCCTCATTTAATTTCAATTATGTCCTTTAAGACTCTATCTCCAAATGCAGTGACATTGAGGGTTAGGGTTCCAACCAGTGAATTTTGAGGGAGCACAAGTCAATCCATAACATGACTTAATATGTCAGAGTATAATTACATTATGTTTTTTTAAAGGATTTAGAAGTTATAGTTTCTAAACGAAACATGGGTGTAATCTCAAGCACTTTTCTTCTTACTGTCCTCATTGCACTGGAACCTGTGAAAATTAATCCTAATTTGCTCCCATTTTCAGTGTTACCACCATTCTTCTCAAACATACATAAACACAACAAGCAGGTTCAAGCTTCTTAATTGGATAAACACCAATTAAGTGTATATTTTAAGTGTATATTTTCCTGTCCTGGTTTTTACCTTCAAATATTTAGAGGCTGATGTCTTTGTGCTCAGTGACTGGATGGACATGTTCCTTGGTTCTTGAAATAGGCGAGTGTTAAGCTTCTGAACTGACCACTCTCCTGGGTGCCAAATGAACCATAAAGGGCTAGTCTCGTCTCTGATTTGGGATAACAATTGAGAAACCTGTTTGACTCATGAGTATTCTCTAGGCTCTGTCCACTGTTTTCAGGCCCCAGAATCCTGATTCCTGAGCACCCACCTCTTACTTCACCACATGGAGACTCCGGTCCCCTCTGCCACTACACAGAGCCACTGAAACTTTCCTCTCAAGCTTTCTTGTCTTAATTTGCTCTACCTCATTCATGCCCATTTTCATTGGTAGTCTATTCTACTTCTATAGTACATATTTATTTTATTTTGTTTTGGTTTGTTTTGTTTTTGAGACAGGGTCTCATTTTGTCACACAAGCTTCAGTGCAGTGGTGCAATCTTGGCTCACTGCAACCCCGAACTCCCAGGCTCAAGTGATCCTTCCACCTCAGCCTCCAGAGTAGCTGGGACTACAGGCACATGCCACCATACCCATTTGATTTTTCATATTTTTATATAGAGGCAAGGTTTCATCACATTTCCCAGGCCGGTCTCAAAACTTGGGTTCAAGTGCTGGGCCTCCCAAAGCTCTGGGATGACAGGCATGAGCCACCGCACCCAGTCGCATACTTATATTTTTCAGACTCCTCATTCTCCTCAATCCCAAAACAAAAAGTAATTGTAATGACATAAATATCACACCATAATCAAAAAGAGACATTAGTGTTGTCTGTAATGTTACTCTTGATCTGAAATTTTAGAGGATGAGGAAAACTGACACTCTATTACCCCAGCAATTCCAAACTTCTGAATTTTATAGATGAAGAAACTAAAGCCCTTCAGTTTCAAAACAAAAACACACCAATCCATGTATGCTCCTGCCAAATATAAGTCTGAATGCATGAGATCCATTCTACTACCTGCTGGATGTTCATTCCTTCTTTCTCAACAAATACAGGCACTATAGTAGGCATTGAGGTAGTTAATGGTGAACAGAGAAAACCATTTCGTTCCTTCCATCATCACTCTCATAGTCTGACTAGACAGAGTAATAATAAGCAAAGAGTGATGTAAATACATGCAAAATGTCAACGGTGGGCACTGCTCTGAAGTATAAATACAACATATGAGAAGCTGTATTCAGAGAATTGGACACACTGGGTACATTGGAGAGAGCTTCCCTGGAAAACTAAAATGTAAAAGATGACACTGATTTAATTAGGTGAATAAGGACAGGCAGAATATTTATACCAGAAGAAATAACCCCTACAAAGATCCTATGCTGAAAGACTGCACAGAACAAATTAGCGTGGAGAGTAACAGGAACAAGAGAGGAGGAGCAAAATGTGGTTGGAGACACAGACATACTGTGTGATACTCTGTGGTATCACACAGTAAAAGCCTTTGGGCCAAGTGAAGTTTTGCTTTATGGCAAAAGCAGCAGGACATCAGTAAAGGGCCCGTCTCACTATTACTGCCGCTTCGGCCCTAAGCCAGCCCCGGTTTCTCTTCCCTGTTTATTATTACTCTTTCCTCCTCACTGTTCTTTCCTCCTTGAGCCTCCCAAAGTCTATTCTCAGCAACAGTCAGCGTGATTAGTTTAAACCCAGGTCTGATCATGTTACCTGTCTGCTCACAGCCAATTCCAACATCCTGTCTTTCCCAGAATAGCATCCAAAGTCCATCTGCTGGCCTGAAGGCCCTCCATGATCATATTTACTGCTACTTCTCTAACCACACCTTCTAACTCTGTTTTCCCTCACATACCCTCTCTGTATCGCTGTGAAGCCCCGTAACTGTTCCAGAACATTTCAAGCATGCTCTTGTCCCAGGGTGTTGGCATTTCCTGTCCTCTAGATTGGCCCTCTTCCAGGTAGGCACATGAGTCAGTCTCCCCAAGTGCACAGGTCTTTCTCAGACATGCACTCACCAGGGAGGTCTTCCCTGACTTCCCTGTAGAAAACAGCTACCATCCTGCTTCCATCACTTCCCAGCACCATCCTCAGCTTTATTTTTCTTCCTAGCATTGTCTGCTACCTATCAAGTCTTTTTGTTTCTCTGTTTTGATCAGCCTGCTGCCACAAAAATGAAAGTTCTTTGAGAGCAAGGGCTTGTTTTCTTTCCTGCTTTATGCCTAGTGGGTTGAAAAGTAACTAGTACGTAGTGATCGGTAAATATTTGTTGAATTCACAAATAAATGAAAAAGTGTGGGACATTCATTACCACAATCATTTTGCCCATTAGATATTTTTCATTTTTTGTTCTGAATCAGAATGTTCACTTGTATGCAGAGAATACACAGATATGCCCTGTTGTAAATCAAGATCTAACTCAAGTCCTGTTTACCCTCTAGGACTGCCTTTCAATACTAGCAACCTTGATTTTTAAAATTCCCAATAAACTAATAATCTAAACCAGTAATTTATCTATAATAGCCCAATGTCTTTTCTTGGGTAATTCTCATCTCTTGAACACTATTGTGTAATTTGAAAATATGTACTCAAACTTTTTTCATTTTCTTTTATGTAGAGCTGCCAATGCAATGCTATTTTGTAAGAGGTAAACACACACTTGCTGCTTTCTCATAATAACTACTATTTATCATTCTTAAGCAGAAAAAAAAGCAGTATATGTTCACTTAAAAAGTAGTAACCAGTTTTAGCTGAGACATAACTCTTGTATGATAGAGTAGTGGAAATAGACATGGAAAGGAAAGTTAGATGTTTTAATATTGTATTGAAAAATGTAGAATTTTTCTATAGCAATGAGGAGACATTGAGTATTGCAGATCAATGAAAGGGTTTTAGAAAGATAACACACAATACTATTGAGGCAGATTGGTTAGAATACAAAGAGAAGTTGTTTGGCTCAAAGGCCATCAAAGTAGGCCATTCTGAATGAGGCCACTGTCAGTAGGAACAGAAATTTTTTAAAAATAATATTTTTGAAGTTTTTGCTTTCATTCAAGCATTTACTGACTAGGACTGTTGCTGTACTGTGTTAGTCATTAGAGCTTAAAAAAATGAGCTGTAAGTTTCATGGACATGCCTTTAAAATAACTTCATTATCTACGTTTTTCCTTTCAGTCTAAGAATTCCAGTTCCTATTAACAATGTCATGATGCATATTCATTAAGCCTAACAAAAGTCGTACATTTACATTTGCATAACATTTTGCAGTTTAAAAATAGCCTTCATGTGCTTTAATTATGTTATTTGATCTCACAAGAATCCTAGCAGGTAAGCTGAGTAGGAAATTCTCTTCAGTTTTTGATAAGAAACTGTAAGTCAGATTTGGTAAGTCATTGGCCCCAGGTTACACCACCTGTGAATTCAGAATTGAATTCATATATCTAAATTCCAAATAATATGGTTTTCCTTATAATTTCATTCCAAATATATATTACTTTATTTGATTTTATTTTTGAGACAGGGTCTCACTCTCTCTCCCAGGCTGGAGTGCAGTGACACAATCTCGGCTCACTGCAAGCTCTGCCTCTCGAGTTCACGCCATTCTCCTGCCTCAGCCTCCCGAGTAGCTGGGACTACAGGCACCCGCCACCACGCCAGGCTAATTTTTTGTATTTTTAGTAGTGACGGGGTTTCACCATGTTAGCCAAGATGGTCTCGATCTCCTGACCTTGTGATCCACCTGCCTCGGCCTCCCAAAGTGCTGGGATTATAGGCGTGAGCCACTGCACCCGGCCTCCACATATATTTTTAAAGTTCATGTGAAAGTAATTTTGTATCTGTACTAATTCCACTTTAATTCCCCTCTCCAGAGCCTATGGTTTATTGTCTAATTTCATTACTTCTTTTGTTACAGGTTTTATAAGAAATATCAACAGTGCTGTATGTTTTTTTTTTTTTTTTTTTTTGTGATAGAATTGTGAGGCTATAAATACAAAAAACCCCCCCAAAAAAACACAACAAGAAAAGAAAAAACACACAAAGATAAGCTAATAAGCCTTTCTCCTAACAGTGCAAAACTTCTGTCTCAAAAACAAAGAAAGATAGTGTTTTTAGATATATACATTTTACAAATAAAAATATATCATCATTGATTTATGTTTTTAAAGTAAAAATGTAGACTTTAATTTCAGTTTGTGTAAATATTTTAAATTTGTTATTTTGTTTACATAACTTCTCACAATTGGAGAAGCTAAAAATTGAATTAGACAGGATAGTAAAATATTAAATCCTGCTGGAAAACATTAAACCAAAAGCCATAACTCTCATTGTTTTTGCTCTGTGAATTCACAGTATTAATTAGTTTAGCAGGAAAGCAAAACAAATTATTAGCATGAATCAACTTGAATTTCAGATATTCTGAAAATAAGCATCAGTTCAGTTCATTAGAATGAATTCTTTTTAATGAAAGATATTCCCAGCCTTCAGATTTTGCATCTTAAATATTTTTCTCTAATAAAAGGAACCCCGGTTTCTTGGAAAAATAGCTGATTCTAGGGTTAGGGAAGAAAATACACAAGGTAAACCTCAGGAAACTGGTAGTGTCAGACAGTAGGAAAGTGCTTAGAAAGAAAATACACACACACACACACACACACGACTGTATATATATCAGAGGGACACAGGAAGCAGCAACATAGATGGAACTGGAGGTCATTATGTTAGTGAAAGAAGCAGGCGCAGAAACACAAACATAGTGTGCTTTCACTTATTTGTTGGATCTAAAAATCAAAACAATTGACCTCATAGAGAGACAGAGCAGAAGGATGGCTATCAGAGGCTGGGAAGTGTAGTTGCCGGGGGCAGTGAAGAGGGAGGTGGGGATTGTTAATGGGAAAAAAACAAAAAACAAACCACAGAAAGAGTGAAAGAGACCTAGTATTTCACAGCATGATGAGAGGATTATAGTCAATAATAATTTAATGGTGCTTTAAAAAATAACTAAAGAGTATAATTGTAATTTTGTAACACAAAGGATAAATGCTTGAGGATATGGATACTCAAATATTTCATATACTACACAAATATATACATATATATGTACTATGTACCCACAAAAGTTAAAATGTAAATAAAAGAACTTCCAATGGACAAAGTTAGGACAATGTGAGCAACAAGATAAATAGCATGGCATTGTCATATAAGCCAAATATAAAATAAATATACTGATATCATACTATTGTAAATGACCGATTTTTTTTTACTTTTTTAAATTACAGCTGTCAACATGCAACATGGGTTAAAAAGTAGATAGGGATGAATATAGGCACACTTTCCTATGATGCTTAGGGACTAAGGAAGGCATTATAATTAAAGCTGGTGATAAGAACACCAGGAGTGATTCACACTGGATGGTGAACACCTATATCTATCTATCAAAGGTAAGTCAGAGAACTGAAAAATTCAAGCTGGAGAAGATGCACCAGGCAGCTAACATGAATGGAAGACTATTAGACATAAATAGTCTTGCCTTGGGAGATGGAGGCTGAGGATGGAAGCTTCCCATGTTCACACACACAATAAGATGAGCTAAAGGTACTCCACCAACCCGCACACTGCCAAATGCTGAACAAGTCTCATGCCATTCAAAGATGAGTACGTGGAAAATACACCTATGCTAGGTCTTTGAAATGATAGTAAATAAAAGTAGATAACAAACATTGTCCAGATATTTCCACCAAAGAATGTCTCTCTGAAGAGCATGCATCTGAGAGCTATTGGCTAAAAGAAACTGATGAAAACTAGAGAAAATATATGGTTGACTTACTGAATATTGTTGCAATTGAATGTTATCACAGTAAATTCAAGAAATTATAAAGAGATAACAAGAAGCTGAAATTAGACAATCTATCTAGGAAGAATTTTTTAAAAAGAATGAAATGGAGATTAGTATGGAGTAACAGATTTATAAAGTTTATCCATCCACAACAGTAAAAGACATAAGTAAGAGGAAAGAACAAGGTATCAAAGAAGTAAAGAAAAACTTAGAAGAAAACTCCTTTAGAATGTAAATAAAAGCAGTGATTAAATAAGTAGAAATGTAATGATACATCACTAGGACAATTGGATGAGAAATATCATTCAAAAATACACTCAAAACACATTTTTTTTTTTTGGAGCTGATGAAAAGCTTTCATGTGAATATTTAAAAACTCACTATAAAAACTAACACAATGGTAACAATGCCAGTCTGTGACCTAGATAAATTTTTGAATTTTAAGGAAAAAGAAAAAAAAAATCTTTCAAGCATTCAATTAGTAAAAACAAAAAGCCTACAAAGGAATCACATTCAGAATGATTAAGGGTCATAAATTTATAAAGTTGTATCTGCAGAATTTTGAAAGACAGAAGCTAAAAGAAATATATACACAGCTATTCAAGTAAAATATATAATAAAATTATGTAAATGTTTAGAAAATATACCCCCTAAATATGATTCTCAAGACTAGTATTAGAAATTATTCTCCTGCTCACTGAAGTATGCATTTAAAAATCAAGAATGAAAAATTCATAGGATAAAGGAACTCACAATGATTCTGAAAATCATAAAATGCAAATTTCACAAAAGATAATTTTTAAGTTAATGAGTACAAAGACTGTACTTCTAGTGATAAAATAGTATTGAGGCTTGAAGCAAATTACTTAACATTTCTTGTGTCTACCATTTTCATTTGCAAAACATTAACATGTCCCAGTAATATCAAAGTTCAAATTAATATTTTAAAGCCACATGAACATTTTGGCTGTTTTCTCTTTCACACAGTACTCGGGAAAGCTCTGTGATCAGAAGAGTTATGTGTCTTGTAACCCTTACTCAAAATGTCGATGGAAGACTAGACTGTTACTATCTTTGATTGTAAGTTTTCCAGTACAAGCAAGAATATTTTCCTTGATCTCATTTCTATTCAAATGGCAGAACACAGAACAAAGCCACGAAATTTTCTTGATTTTTGGCAAATGAGTTTTCCTTTTATAAAATTGGTTAATATAGCTCTTCCAAGCTGAAAGCTATGTGATGCATTCAGTATCTTCTATGACTGTCTTTTGCCTCACCACTGGTACTTCCCCAGGCTGCTACTTTCTGAATACAATAA